GTCTGTTGGGTCGCTCAGGTGATCTACAGTCTGCTGGGTCCAGGAGCTGGGTCTCCCAGGTGACATGCGGTCCGCTGGTCTAGGTGGTGGGTGGCTCAGAGGACTGCTGGGTCTCCCAGGTGGCGTGTGGTCTGCTGGATCGTTCAGGTGACATGCGGACTGCTGGGTCCAGGTGCTGTGTGTCCCAGGTGACCTGCGGTCTGCTGGGTCCAGGTGCCGGGTCGCCCCACGGTCTGCTCCGTGGCCCGTGACGACACGGTAACCCCACACTAAATGACCAGCTTCCGTGGCATGCGCGAGCCTGGGGCTGAAATCTGCGCAGGCATCCAGCACATCTCATGGAATATTGAGTGGTGAATTGGTAAATGTTATCGTATTCAGGATGATTCTAATTTTAATCATTTATTTATAATGATACGTTTTGAAGCTTATATCCATTCTGTTTAATACATTCTACATTCCATAAGCATTCCAGAAATTAATATGCAATAAAATCTACTATAATTTTAAATAATTATTAATATATTAGTCTTACCAGCATCTATTTACACTAGTTATAAAGATACAAGATTTAATCGAGCTGACACCACTTCAATTTCCCAGTTCATTTTACACGCAGTTTATGAAAGCATATAAACGATACTCTCCATGAACAACTACGCGCACTAAAATACCGCTTCAATTCTTCAGTTAATTTTATGCTTAATTTACGAATGCATATAAACTATACTCTACACTGAACATCTACGCGCGCTAAATCAAAGCGCGGCAATTCTGCACTTCTGCTATCATAGTCGACTCATCGATCGCGGCGACGGCTGCGCGGGAACAGCTTCCTGCCACGCGCAGTTTATCTTCACCGCGCCGCTCGTCCTCTTCCTGATCCCGTCTTTTTGCCGTGCACTCCGGGCGCCGTTGCCCTCGTGATCCGAGCGCTGACCTGCGCTGCACCGGCAATCATTTGCACGCCCTCGCTTGTTGCCCTCGCCCTGACTCACTTAACTCCCCTCACTCGAGACCGCTACCCTCGCTCATGATCGTTGCCTTCACTCATGCTCGCTGTGCTCATTCATGTTCGTTGCCGTCACTCAAGATCGTTGCCCTCACTCATGATCGTTGCCCTCACTCATGATCGTTGCCCTCACTCATGATATCATGACCGTTGCCCTCACTCATGCTCGCTGCCCTCACTCATGATCGTTGCCCTCACTCATGATCGTTGCCCTCACTCATGATCGCTGCCCTCATTCATGATCGCTGCCCTCACTCATGCTCGCTGTGCTCACTCATGCTCGCTGCCCTCACTCATGATCGTTGCCCTCACTCATGATCGTTGCCCTCACTCATGATCGCTGCCGTGGTTCTCACTTAACTCACATGATCGTTGCCCTCGATTATTGACGTAACTCTCTGAGTAACAGACAATTTTCAGTCGTGCACAATTTTCAATCGTTTATTATTATCATTAAATGATATTTCCTGTCGATTTAATTCTAATCGTTTAACGTATTATTAATACAATTTTTTATCACATATTGTGCAATAGAAGTCAAATTATTTCTTGCTTATCGTACTATATAGCGCGTTGAATTCCTATCGTCCACTCGCTTGCTGCCTTCACGAGAGTTTATTATACGATTAAGGTTTTAATTTTTTCATTTCCTCTCCTCGCTCGCATGTTTATTGCACGGCAAGTTACAGGAATATTCATTCACATTATCCAACTTATTATTCTAGGTTCAAGATTTTCCTCTTGAAATCCCACAACCACGCTGTTCCTCAGCCCTCGCGTCCATCTCGCCTCGCCCCTCGCAGCAGAATGGAAGCTCTAATTGGTCGTCATAATGCATCAATAATCAAGTGAATGATAATGCATTCATTAACTCGACGCAATCTCGGCCATATTTACTTTTTTATGACAGATCCCTCCGACTTTCATCGGTGAATAAGTGCGAAATTGTGTTTCTTTAACTACATATCAAATAAGTACGAGCTTTATTTGGTCCAAGAAACAGGATATAAATTAAAACAACGAACACCGAGATTCCTTTATTCACTTCATTTTTGTTTTCTGTACGAACGCTTTTAATGGGTTATGCAAATAACCACCTCCTCATAAAATGATATTAAATAAAATTTTCGTTAATTGACGTGAAAAATAAGCTGTTTAAAATATGATTCAAAGTAATAATACGATGAAATATCGCCTAGCACATAACGGAGTGGTGCAATAAAATGACAAGCATTGACAGAACGTGTCTTGTCTCTATAAACATCCAATTTGACAATGGTCAATACTGAGAAATTAATAGCCATCGTTCATACCGTAAAAATGTAGCTCAAAATGCGCTTTTAAAACATTCAGTAACATTCTGCACTGCAATTATAATACGCTAGAGACTTTGTGAGTACCGGTAACACTAAGATAGATTTATAAAATTCTACGACGATGCAGAGCGGCCATCGATCGCCAGCCAAATCGCAGTTGATCGAGAGGTCAACACGCCATCTTTTCCCTTCATCGCCTTATTCCGTGCACAATTAATAACAAGTACTAAACTGTGTTCGGTACCAGACCTTCAGTCCTCTTGTTAGGTCCTGGAGTCATGCTAAATCAGTTCCATCGTCCTCAAACATGATATGTTTATAAGCAAATACTGCGGTGGACGTGGTACAGGCGAACTCACTTGGTGCAGCTAATCCTAAGTTTATGGTGATCCGATTTAGGATCGTCTCCCTTTTGGTGGTGAGGACCCACACCTCCGGAATGTGGTCCTGATCCTGCTTCCATTAATCCCTACGATGGCGCAAACTGAGTGGAATCAGCGCTAGGCTTGTGGAATTAAATGAGATTTGGTGACTCCCAGGGCGACACGAGGGCTGGTGTGGAGGGAGCTCGTTATTTATTATACACGGGGCCTGTAGAACTCGCGTGGTTCTTATCCTGCAAGTTATAGCATAAAGATAATATGTTCTTGAATTTTAATGCAGTGATTCCAAAAATTCTTTGATCGTTATTGTATGCCACTGTGTGTAAACCCAACTTTTTAAGGTTAACATCCCTGAGAAGTGTGAACAAAGGTAGTTAGCTCGATGATCGTGATAATTTAATTACTGTTTCCTAGGATTATAAGATTTCTAATTGCACGTATCTAAAACACAAGTATGCATACCTTTTTATCACTTGAGTAAGAACAGCGAAGGGCAAAAAAGCTGTTCCGAACGTCGGTCGGAAAACGGAAGTGTTGCGACGCAGCGCTGTGCACCGGATCAGAGGTCCCCTCCCCTGCCCTCTTATTGAGCTAATCTGAGCCAAGATCACCTGGTTAGAAGCGCCTGGCGCCGGGCGTTATTAGGTTGGAGATTAGCAGGAAATAAGCTGAAAATCCGTTGCTGCCATCGATCGTTTCGCAGGGACAGGTGGCGGCACCAGCGCTCCGCTAAATCAGGGCACGAGGTCGATTCAACGCATAAACTTTGAACAAGGATTCCGGCAAGTAAGCCTGATACAGATTTAACTCTGTTGTTGCAAACTTCTGCCCATTGATGAAATTGCAGCATGATTCATTTTACATGCTTTTATGCACAGGTGGTCATCTGATCAGAGTATACATCAGTGGAAGATGGCATTAGCATCTCAGTGTCGCAGAACTAACGAAAGAATTCGACGGTAACAACTTCCAATGACAGGATAATTGAAGAAAACGACCAGCAATACTGTTTATTATTGAAAATGAGAAACTAAGTCTGTAGTAAACTTCAAAATATTGATTTAAAGAAAGCTTAATGTTGTACTTCGCGTGGTAAAAACATCCGGGTTAACAAGATATAGAACAATATTTGGCTCAGATGGAACGCTTAGGGACAAATAAGAGGCAGTTTTAGAAAAACAAAAAGAAACTATTATCACACTGAAGTTAACCCTTCACTAAAAAGGGCTGGAAAAATAAAGAAAGAATCGAGACACCTAGGGAAAATAACTGAAAGCGATATGAATAAATTTCCACGGAGAAATATACAGCTCGACCTGATTCTTGCTTAGTCTTATTTATTAACAACTCTCCCGACATAAATACCTATATACTAAAAATCTCTAAGCATAATTTGAACTATAGGACTTTGAAGTTAACATATTTAGACTAAGATGAATGTATAACATGATAACGTACAAGCAGAAGGCTTCACAGGTAAGATGAACAGAGAACATAACAGCATTCCGACGTACAAAACTAAAACTGGCCACAGCCTTGTACCCTCGCGTGGATGCCCAACATTATATCCTCTCACCTGCACATAGCCGTACCACAGGCTCTAGACAAACCTTGTACCCAGGCTCTACACAAACCTTGTACCCAGGCTCTACACAAACCTTGTACCCACGCTCAACACAAGACTTTCACAGGCTCTACACAAGCCTTGTACTCAGGCTCTACACAAGACTTGTACCCACGCTCTACACAAGCCTTGTACCCAGGCTCTACACAAGCCTTGTACCCGGGCTATACACAAGCCTTGTACCCAGGCTCTACACAAGACTTGTACCCAGGCTCTTCACAAACCTTGTACCTAGGCTCTACACAAACCTTGTACCCACGCTCTACACAAGACTTTACCCAAGCTCTACACAAGACTTGTACCCAGGCTCTACACAAGCCTTGTACCCAGGCTCCACACAAGACTTGTACCCACGCTCTACACAAGCCTTGTACCCAGGCTCTACACAAGACTTGTACCCACGCTCTTCACAAACCTAGTACCCAGGCTCTACACAAACCTTGTACCCACGCTCTACACAAGACTTTACCCAGGCTCTACACAAGACTTGTACCCAGGCTCTACACAAGCCTTGTACCCAGGCTCTACACAAGACTTTACCCGGGCTCTACACAAGACTTTACCCGGGCTCTACACAAAACTTTACCCGGGCTCTACACAAGCCTTGTACCCAGGCTCTACACAAGACTTTACCCGGGCTCTACACAAGCCTTGTACCCGCGCTCTACGGAAACATTATGGCCACGAGCTGCCACAAGCCTGGCGATTGACTTCAATAAGTTACGATAATTCGAGAATATCTGTTAAGCCAAGGCACTTATTTTTATCAAATAGCATTTTTCTCACTACAACACAGCCTTTCTCAACTCTCAAACTACAACAATCCTCCAATTACAAAAAGACAATTTTTATAAAGATATTTTCTTTAAAATAGCCTAAAATTTAAACTAGAATCATGGATCACATATAAAAAAAAGTAGTTACATCTGAAGTTATCATGATTATCATAACTTAAGAATGCAGTCAGAAGTTCTGAACACTAGCGCCTCTGTGACAGAGCGCGGCTACAGCTTGGCTTGTAGCTCCGAGTGTAGCGCGGTGAGGTTCTTTTTAATTTCCTTGAAATTTGGAACGAAGTTTTTCGATAGCAAAGAGACCTGAAACGAAGGATTAGTTTGCATCAATAAGAGAAATTTTCAATAAACATTAATTTTAGTATAGGTATCTCTTTATGTTTTATTCTGAGGATTCATCACAACTTAGTTCCTACAGAAAATATTGATAAGCTCTCTCACTGAGAATTCAAAATGTCTGATGAGTGCAGAACATTATGATTGCCAGCAGTCTCACTATCCCAAAACTTAGAATAACATAGTATCTAGTTATTTGTACCTAGCTCACCTGACTCAATTTATTCTCACATGTACACAGTTTTCAATAACCCCCTTTTCACTTGCCTCAGTATTCAGTAAGCAGTACAGCAGAGGCGGCCATTGAAATTTTCCAATACTTACCAGTACCATTTACCGTGCACTTGGCCTCGTAAATAGACTCTACTGGTCACGGAAGTTCCTAGTCACTCTTTACCAGAGGCCAGTAGCAAGATAATATTGTTAGTCGCACATAATATATGAAAGTTTTACACGCCGCCAATACTGTTCTCGAGTACAAACATCTATAATAATTCTTACAATAACCTTATTTTTGATCACTGTTACCTAGTTTCACCATAACCTAATTTTGGCTCACTGTTACCTACTTTACCATAACCCAATTATGGCTCACTCTTGCTTAGCTTTACCATAACCCAATTTTGGCTCACTGTTACTTAGCTTTACCATAACCCAATTTTGGCTCACTGTTACTTACTATACCATAACCCAATTTTGGCTCCCTCTTCACTCTTCACTGAGCCTCAAAACCATACAATCCTCACTGTTAGTATCCCCTAATTAGTACAGACCTCCATTGTCTTATTGTCGTACATGGCGTACTGGTCACAAGTGTTAGTATCACCTAATTAGTACAGACCTGCATTGTCTTATTGTCGTACATGGCGTACTGGTCACATGACTCGATATAGGCGTCGTAGTACTCGAAGAAGAGGTTCCTCATGACCTCCACGAGCTGCGCCGGGATGCGGAAGCCTTCAGCGTGACGCAGCGTCTCGACCACCGCCACGCGCAGCGTCTCATGACGCGCGTAAATGTCAAAGTTGGTCACCGACGACGCGTTGCAGCCACGCAGCTGCAGCAATTAAACTATTAAAGTACGTAATATTTATGCTCAGATTTGTAGAAGATAGGATATATAAATCACAATATGCCAATTTAACATCATGTAAGAATAGGTTAAAATCAACGCCAAATATTGCAGCAATTAAAGTAATATTTATGCTCACATTTGTAGACGATAGGAGATATTAGACACTAAATGACCATGTGCCAATTTAAAATGAAATACAAATAGGTTAAATTCAACGCTAAATATCTGCATGCACATACTGAATGTAGGTACACCTACAAAACTTCGAAAAAAAATTACGGAATTTGATCGAAGTTGAAACTATGTACAAGAGCTGGAATTGGAGAAGGAAATTCACGCCTAAAGCTACACGCTATCCGCCGTGAATCATGCAATCATGCAATGGAGATTGTGAGCCTGAAATTTAAGAGCTGACAGTGAGAATACTACTCCATTGTGCTGCCGTTGTCCTCGACGCCTACAGAGATATCAAATACTAATCCATTGAATACTTTTTATGGGCCGTCCTGACACATAACAGCACACCAAAGGCTCACCAGCATCCACCTATTACTAACCAAAGATTTTAAATAATTTAATCCTGCACCCCATATCATTTATTTGGAAATTTCTCTTCCGAGGGCAGTTTGAAACAGATTATGTTGGCCTTGTAGAGGCAATGAGAGTATGGTGGGCTACATCAAGACAGCAGGTGGGGGGAGGTGGGCAACTTACCCTCTCAGAACCAGGTATTGTGATCTACATCAAGACAGCAGGTGAGGGGAGGTGAGCAACTTACCCTCTCATAACCAGGACTACATCAAGACAGCAGGTGGGCAACTTACCCTCTCATAACCATGTACGGTGGGCTAATGTCTATCTACATCAAGACAGCAGGTTGGGAGGTGGGCAACTTACCCTCTCATAACCAGGTACGGTGGGCTAATGTCTATCTACATCAAGACAGCAGGTGGGGAGTTGGGCAACTTACCCTCTCATAACCAGGTACGGTGGGCTAATGTCTATCTACATCAAGACAGCAGGTGGGGAGGTGGGCAACTTACCCTCTCATAACCAGGTTCATTACAGAGAGCCTCGGCCGACAACATGGACTGGATGGAGAGCAACAGAGACGACAGGGTGTTGGTTGCGGCCCAGCTCGGACCCTCCCACGTCCTGTGAAGTAACACGAGGTATCATGGCTCTGCTGAGCAGTAAAAATAGGAGCAGAGGTGTGAGCAGCAGCAGTGGTAAGAATGATAGCAGCTTGTGAGGTTAGTAGATGTAGCTAAAATAGAAGGTACTGGTGCTATTAATAGGAGTTTCAAGAGCAGTAGTTACAAGAGTATCACTTATAGCAGTAGGAAGGGTGTGAGCAGCAGCAGTGGTGTGAGCAGCAGCAGTGGTGTGAGCAGCAGCAGTGGTGTGAGCAGCAGCAGCGGTGTGAGCAGCAGCAGTGGTGTGAGCAGCAGCAATAGTGTCAGCAGTAGCAGGGGTAAGACGGATACCAGCTTGTGAGGTTAGTAGATGTGGCTAAAATAGAAGGTACTGGTGCTATTAATAGGAGTTTCAAGAGCAGTAGTTACAAGAGAATCACTTATAGCAGTAGGAAGAGTGATGGCAGCAGCAATCTGTAGAGTTAAGTATAACAGCTGTAAGTACAAGCGGTAAAAATAGTTACTGCAATTCAACTATGAAATTTTGATGGCTGTACTAACCCTCTAGGAAGCAATTTCTATTGCGCGTTGAAAGTGATAGTTCAATCTAAAAACTTCTGCAAAAAGACCCAACACATGAAAAGGTATTGGCTCGAACCTGTAAAAAAACGGTTCAAAACTTTTGTTGAATGAAGCAAACAAAATGAAAAATGAAAAATCGTACAAATATATGTGCTAAATTGATCAAAAGTCTTACCCTAAAATGCTGAGGCACACGGTGCCATCTTCATAGAAGTTTGGGTTGAATCTCACAACGTGGCCGTAGCGATAGCTTGACATGCAGCAAACTCGTGGAGGGTCGAACGGATAGTTTGGTCCAAATCTGCCGAAGTATTTAATGATCATTTAGTAAAGTACAAATTATTATCATCGATTAGTTATGTACATATCACAACTGAGGAGAGTGAGTGAACATCACCGACTAGTTATGCTTGTTTTGATTAATCTTAATAAATAATCAAGACAAGCACAGGACATAAATAAATTAATAGGGTCTGATAATAAGTTTCCAACATGATACAAGTTTTGAGCATTAAAATGAATATTTATTCCTGTTATTATATTTCCTTCAGCGAACAATCATGGCGTGATCATTTGCTTGAAAAATACGAACAAAAAATCCTGATGGTGGCAATGGTTGTTTGAAGCTACATTTAGCACGAACTTTTAGTAAAAGTGTGTCTGATTTGAAGTACAGTTGAAATTTGTTCATGAGAAGAATGACAAATTCAAACCAGCTTTCATACTGAGTTAGAACAATAAAAAAAGGCTGAGAAAATACAAAGAATATTACCTCGATGGCGAAAAGTTCTTACCTGACCATGAATTGAAAAAAGCCGCCTTCGTAAGGGGTATCGAAACTACCCACTATCATCGCGTGTACGAACATAATGTTAGCGTCGTCGCCAGAGACGAAAATGCCTTCTGTAGGCGATGACATTCCCATGGCCACGTCTCTGATGGATCAAATCGTGACGTGAGAACACAATTATTACATGATCCATGAATGAACAAAGATGATGTTGAAGCCGTGGACTGAGATGAAGATTACTGGTATAGGTAATAATATGATCAGAATGCATCTGAGATGAATTGAATGATGACATTAAAATAGGTACTATTTCACGATGCAACGGGCAACATGACTATATCGTAATCGGATCATACGAACGATTACGCAACGAATATAAAGACGCGACAGTCCACGAACGATGCTGACACATGTACAAGGAAGCACCCAACTAAATAGACATCACAATTTTTGAAATTAAAACTGGAAATATTGAAAAAAAAACAAGCGAAAATACACTTAGGTATATATAACAATTGAAAATATCAAATAGAATGATTGAGCTTGCCTTTCGGCGCGTTTGAGAGCCGTGGCAGAGTTGGGTGCGATGTCCCAATCCTTGCTGTTGAAGGGACAGCTGGCGACGCCTAGTGAGATGTGCGAGCGCAGGACCGGGTCATCGATCGCCAGCTCTCGTGCCTTAAATAACACGAACAATAACAATAAAATGCGTTATTTACAATAAAATGCATTATTTACAATAAAATGCATTATTTACAATAAAATGCATTATTTACAATAAAATGCGTTATTTACAATAAAATGCGTTATTTACAATAAAATGTGTTATTTACAATAAAATGCGTTATTTAAAATAATTCAAGACTATTTTATTCTATAATTTGCATTAACATGCGATTTTCTACTTTCGAAATTGGGGATGAAAAACTTCGGGCGAGGACATTTAAAACTGGACCAAAGAAGTTTCGTCTTTAGCTAAATATACCAGCTCCAGACAATGCTATATATACCAGCTACAGACAATAATAGTACGGTATATATACCAGCCAAGGACTACTACACACAGGACATGCATAGCCTATGTCCAGCCTCTGCTAGCAGAGGCGATCGCCTACACTATGAAAATGCTGTTGTTTTAATAACAATAAAATGCGTTATTTACAATAAAATGCGTTATTTACAATAAAATGTGTTATTTACAATAAAATGCGTTATTTAAAATAAAATGCGTTATTTCAAATAAAATGCGTTATTTACAATAAAATGCGTTACTTACAATAAAATGCGTTATTTACAATAAAATGCGTTACTTACAATAAAATGCGTTACAATAAAATGCATTATTCACAATAAAAGGCGTTATTTACAATAAAATGCGTTATTTACAATAAAATTCGTTATTTACAATAAAATACGTTATTTGCAATAAAATGCGTTATTTACAATAAAATTCATTATTCAAAATAAAATGCGTGAGTTATTTAGGGTTATTTTATTCTATTATTTGCATTAACATGCGATTTTCTACTTTCGAAATTGGGGATGAAAAACTTCGGGCGAGGACATTTAAAACTGGACCAAAGAAGGTTCATCTTTAGCTATATATAACAGCTACAGACAATGCTATATATACCAGCTAAAGACAATGCTATATATACCAGCTAAAGACAATGCAATATATACCAGTTAAAGACAATGATATATATATACCAGGTAAAGACAATGCTATACGGTATATACCAGCTACAGACAATGCTATATATACCACCTACAGACAATGCTATATCTACCAGCTACAGACAATGCTATATGTACCAGCTACAGACAATGATATATATACCAGCTAAGGACAATGCTTTACATACCAGCTAATGACAATGCTATATATACCGTACCAGATACAGACAATACAAGATAATTATTTGGGTGACAGCAATGCACAACAACAAGAAACTTCTTTACATATTAAAGACTTACCAGAGAAATGCTTCCAGTTTTCCGAAAACTAGCCATTACGAAAGTTGCGTATGCGAGAATAAAAACCTCAGATGAGCTCCAAATATTAAATTAGATAAATTCTGTTAAATATTTACTGAGAAGTGATATGAGTGAGCACCAAAGGCATGTTAAATTAATAAGTATTATTCAGGGTATGATGAATATAAATGTAAACACATAACTGCTTGGACGTTTTAACCATCATGTTTCTAGGCGCAAGGAAACTATTGCACTCAAGTTTTTTACATTACGAAATTACTGGCATGGCACAATCCCAGATCGACCTCCCCTGCAACACTACCAGCGGCGAGAAGCAAGCAACAGCATCGTGCATCAGGTGGCCCAAATGAGGGCGGATGAACGATAATCAGAGGCAGCGATCCATCGTGGCCTGGGACTGCTACGTCCCGAACAAATACTAAGGAAACTAAGGAAGGCATAGTGGGCATTCACCGCACTACCAGTGAGATGGTTCTAGGGACGTCGTCGGGAAACACTCACGCGCTACACTCGCTAGCTCAACTCATTGCTTGTACTCAAAGTCTAAGTTACACCCCCATGTTTATTTCTGTACACCGCACCTTCTACTTGTACCAAGATATGCCTTAACTTTTCGTATTACAGTAAACGGGTTCGAAAACTACTATATCACTTCACCGTTTGCGCATAGCACTTTGTACGACGATAATTATATTCAATCACTTCACCTTTTCAATTGCCACACACTATAGATAGGAGGTAAGCATTCCTGTAGACTAGACTATTTAGACCATTTAATCACCACTTCGCCGGCAGAACAGCAAACCCTGATATAGTCATATTTATCAATTAAATTTGTTAACCTTCTACTGTCAATGTGAAATTATTGTGAATGAGGACTTGAGGCTCAACTGAAGTTGAGGAGCAAGGCTGCCAAGGCTGAAGGCATTACGATTACCAGTGATTACCTGACATTTCTTTGGCAAATAAAATGAAGAAGAAGATCTGACTTACCTGTGTGAATAACAGAATAAGCAGGTTTGGTATTTTCCTACCATACTACTTACTACTTGTTATTGAAATCTTGTGGCTTTAAAGTAACCAAGTAAAAAAAATAATATATTTTGCCTCAATTGCCTGCAGCTTTTGAAAAATCACCTGTAGACTGATCATTTTCATACATACTAAGCCTACCTAATCTGCATCTGAAGCCTGAAGCCGAGGCTGAAGGTGTTATACCTGCCTACTGAAATGCATCCTAGCTACCTACCTTCCAAAGTTTGTAGGAAAAATGAGACTTTTTTTATTTATTATCATAATGAGAAGTGATATGAGTGAGCACCAAAGGCATGTTAAATTAAAGAGTATTATCAAGGGTATGAATATGAATGTACTTGGACGTTTTAACAAGCATGTTTCTAGACGCAAGGGACCTATTGCGTTTAATTAAGTTTCTTACATTACGAAATTAATGGCATAGTGGGCATTCAAGGCAGTGAATGTAGAATATCAAGCCAGTGAGATGGTTTGATATTCTAGGGAGGTCGTCGGGAAATACTCGCGCGCTACACTCGCTAGCTCAACTCATCTCTTGTAGGTACTCAAAGTCTAAGTTACACCTCTATGTTCATTTCTGTACACCGCACCTTCTACTCGTACCAAGATATGACTCAACTTGGCGCTCCAAGTATGAACGCGTTCAAGAACAGACTAGATAAAGCTATGGAAAAATATATGTTCAGATTTGAAATGCCTAGCTCCTTATCGAACCCGGTGGAAGTCTAGTAGCTTCTTCAAACTATCGACAGTCATGAAAAGATCCGGTCAAATGACACGAGTTTAGATCTATGAACAAGGCACGAAATGGAAAAGGATCGGCGACAGGCCACATCAGGCCTACACTTCAGAGCCGACATCACTATGTTATGTTATGTTATAACGGCAAATAGGTTCAAAGACTACCATACCAATTCACTGTTTGTGCATTGCACTTTGTACGGCAGTAAGTATATTCAATCACTTCACCTTTACAATTGCCACATACGGTACTATAGATAGGAGGTAAGCATTCCTGTAGACTAGACAATTTAGACCATTTAATCACCACGTCGCCGGCAGAACAACAAACCTTGCGATTGTCATAATATTGAATTCAGGCTAAACCTTGCGTACATCCTACGAATAAAGTTTCTTATTCCTGTTAACCGAATGTCATAAGACGGCGCTGCATTCAAACTCCAAGAAACGATTAATATATTTCAACTCAATACATGGCGTGCCAACTTCGTGTTCCGCCGCAAAATTATTGAGTAGGTTTTCGTTTCCAACCCCGTTCAGANGTAAATGGGCCAGCATTATAAATTCTCCCAACAAATAGCAATGTTTGGTAGTGTCAGCGCAGAAGAAATATGCCCATGGCCTGTCGCAGATTCTTGTACTTTTCGTGACTTGTTTACAGGAAATATAAAAATGCTGGCGAGTAGCACAGTTGACTCAGTTACTACTACATCTTCACTGCAAACGACGTAAACTAGAGCAAATTAAGACGCTCCTTAGGCCGACGTACACTAAAGCAAATCAAGGCCGTCATAAATTTCATGCTGTAAGCTTGTATGTGTAAGACGGAGAGCCGGGGGAGAGTTCCAGTCCCCTGGTGGCGATGGCCACCTTCTGCGGTTTCCATAATTACAATACTAATCTTAATGAAATACTGAAAATGGCAACAATTTTAGTAACAAATATACTTCTTTTAGCCTTATCTTGTTAAATATAATAGGCGAAAATATATAAAATTTATAATGACACGATTTAGTCTTAATAAAGAAAATGCGAAATGTTTGCTTATAAATATTAGGAATAAAGCATGGATGGCTGAAAACAAGGCAACATGTGCCATCACTAAAACAATCAAGAGGATGACACAGATCCCATAATTTATAAATGAAAGAGCTACCGAGTGAAGTCAACAATCAGTTATTCTTAATCTAGAACTCAATAAAACTGTAATGATCATCTGATGATTGACTACCTATCAGCTAGATCATTATAAATCATATTTGCTATTTATTTATTTAGAGGGCTGTATAATTTTTTTTAATCGCATATTCAAGTACTAGGAGAACATAATATCAAAACATATAAAAAAATCACGTATAACTCCTCATAAATGAAACAATGAATTTTCCCTGCTTTGTGCTCTGTGTTTTCAAAAGTAGAAGTCCTGCCAGAAACATGCTCTAAGAACCAAAGATTCGGTCCTTGAAAGGCAGGAGTTCTTGATGCAGCTTGATGATATCCTTGAGAATGTTCGTGAAGTTTGGCTTGAAGACCTCGGGTACCAGAGGAACCTGCACGCAGGAAGGCATTCATAGCAATCATACAAAGAAATTATACGATTGCTTGGTGCGACTACATGTACTACATGGTGTAATCGTAAATGGTACTACATGTACGATAATTTTTGCTACAATCATATAAGAGTTAGCTTAATCGTTCAACTGCATCTACGTTCATTCTTTTGCAAGCATGTTCTGCAAAAGGTTTGACAGGATAAACAATTTGATCAGAGTTATTCATACGTGATGCGAATAGAGCAGCATTTCCGACAACAAAAGTTAAGGTTTTTAGGATCTCGAAATAGAGCCCAGTCACTAAAACACGATGTAAAATGGTAGTTTGAATAGAAATCATAAGAAAATGTATGTAAAATATTTTTAAGCTTTATTGAGCCAAATCCACAAGCATAAAAATCTGCAACTATAAATTACAAAACAAAAGCTTCACATAAAACTGCCGTGATATTCATACTTCAAAAGAGTACGAAAAACCATTTGGTAAACAAGGATCCAAACATTCCTGGCCCATTACGCAGTGGAATTGATCTCACTTGGTACGCGGATCCATCGAAGACTTTGTACGTGTGGCAGGATGACACATAAGAAACGTAATGCTCGAAGAAGTTGGCAACCATGTGGCGCACGAGCTTGGCAGGGATGTCGTACTTCTGCCACGTGCGTAGTCCATGCACCACAGTCACGCGCAATGTCTCGTGACGTATGTACATGTCGTACAGCCACACTTCTCTCGTGCCACGGCCTTCAAACTGGTGAATAAGTCATGCCATTAGTAGTGCCATGGCCCTCTAACTGGTGTATAGTCATGCCATTAGTAGTGCCATGGCCCTCTAACTGGTGAATAGTCATGCCATTAGTAGTGCCACGGCGCTCTAACTGGTGTATAGTCATGCCATTAGTCGTGATGGAATAAAAATATAACCAATCAGAAAATATATAAACAATAAAGCTCTTCATCCCAGAACAAGAAATTGATACGGTAACCCGAAAATAGGATAAATAGGATAAAAATTGAACCTAAATCATAGGTTCACCTTAGAGCTCAGAAAAGTTTATAAAACAATAATCCATTGAGAAATTCATGTATTCTCATTCACCCAAATTTAAGAAACCCCAATGATCATGTTGCTGTGCAGTTTTCATTTAACATCAATCATAAATATAACTTGCCTGACATCACTCTCAACTCAGAAGACTTAATACAAAACTTAAATTATACATCTGGGCCTATACTCTCAAAAAAAAAAGTTAAGAGATCGTAAGTTCATCAGCCAATCATTGACGGCCTTTCAAGCCAAATCTACCAATCATAGACAAGAAAATAGAGCGTAAGTACTTACATTTACCTAGCGAGTTTTGAAAGTATGGCCCCTGGTGTTTTATAAAGCACAAATAACAAACACTTGCCACTTCAAATCTTGGCTCCCTGCAAAGTGCCTCATTTGTCATCCGCGATCTGATGCCCAAAAACAGAGAGCGCAGGTCCATGTCAGGATTCCATGGTTCACCAGGCCATGTGCTGCGGGAAGAAAATTTAGGCACCCTCATAAACATCACGTCCAGCAGCCTCATAAACAATTACTTCCAACAATATTCACTCTCTGTGCCCTACTGCCTCTGATAATATAAGACAATCTCACCATTAATGCCCTTTTTAGCGCATTTTCTCATTTATGGAAAAAATGCACTATTGTGCTTGCCATGTCCGTCTGTCAGTCTGTCCGTCCGTCTGTGACCTCAAGTTTTCGTCGACGAGAAAATGCGCTCTGTCACTCACTGCAGTGAGTACTGAGTTATATTTTTTGATAAGTTTAAACCTTCAGTAGTACAAAACATGAGAATGCATTCATTTTAAAAAACTTAACACACATAATGGCAAACTTTAATAGAAGATTTTTAGATAGTATCAGTTCATTCTTTAAAAGTAACATCTAAAAATATTAGTTCTCATAAGCTTTTGCTCATAATATTAATTTTTACTAACTCACTTGAGTATACTGATGCAGATGTGGCCATTACGATAGAAGTTGGGACTGAAGCGTACCAAGTGTCCAAAGCGGTAGCCAGACATGAAGCACACTCGAGGAGGTTCCACTGGGTAGTTGGGGCCCAACCTGCAAAACATCAGGGTAGTTATATCATATCTCAACAATTTACTAATATTTAACACAAATTAACCTGCCAATTTAAATCAATTTCAAAGAAGGTAGATGAGATTGGCAATTTGAAAATTTTTGGAAGACATTTTTTGTTTTGATGTGAACTGTTCTTTTACATTAAATTGATGTAGATAGGTTTGTAAAGTAAAATAGGAGCATTTCAAGACAAATACATAATAAAACATTTAATTATCCTTTCAACGTTGGTCTTACGTACCTGACATAGAAATGGAAGAACCCTCCTTCATAAGGAGTGTTCTCAGGGCCAATAAGAAGAACTTTAAAACACAGCATATTGTTCTCATCGTTGACAAAATAGACATCCGGAGCAGGGCAGTCAGCCACCGTCTTTATTTCTCTGCAACAATTTCTTACATTACTTTTGATGAGGCAGGACAAGATATTCAAAAAATGCAGAAATTAGGATCCAAATAAAAATGGAAAATTAAAGGCACTAAAATGGTGTGGAACATAAACAAAATATAAAACAGCGACTAGTTGTTGGAGGCAGTGGTGCAGATGAGTCACATTTTTCAGTCAAATGGTCTAGGGGTATCAATAACGATGCACTCTGAGGTTACTTAGAATCAATCAAATTGTCATTAATGTTAAACATTCAAACCATTTTATCCAAGATATATCCAGAAGAAGAAACATCATGTCAAAACCACTGGTACCTTGTTTGAAATTTTATCCTTTCCTTGAGCTAGGCCAGCTTTTTGTGACAAGTGTGGTGTCAAAAAGAGTATCTCTGCTAATATCTCTATTTTATATTATGTACTTGACTGTAATCAATAAAGCATATCCATGCTGATAGGGGAGACAAAAATTTATACATGACTGAAGTTCTCACATGACTTCTGACTGTTTAGCATTTTCAATGAGAAAAAGTTTGAGATTCTTTCAAACAATGAAAAAAATCTTTCACTTTTTAGTGAGATCTTGCAATTCCATGCATTACTATCCTATACCGTAAGCATAATATTTGTCCTTCTAATGCCTAAGGAACAAACAAAAGAATTCCCACAATTCAAGATTAATGCAACTTTAGCATTGAATTTACTTTCTAAACTTATAGGCTCTTTACTCAACTGCTATAAGATAGACTGCTATAATTTACATGGAGTATGTAAATAACTACCTAATTTGTCTGCAGCATTAAGAAAGTGATCATTGCCAGTTATAAGATTATTTACATATTTATAATTCTTTGATACTTGCTTCCGGCTCCTCAGGCGTCCTGCAGCGTGCCCTCGTCCCGCATCATCCCAATCAGGGCTTTGAAATGGACAAATTCTGGGGGATATTCCAGCCGGCATGTTGTTGTCTTGTTGATGAGGTAGTAAAGCATGAGTGAAGGCAGCTGGCATTGAGTTGTATGCCATATTTGGACTAGAATTAATTACGATGAGGGATCGAAGATCAGCAAAAGATTCCTAAGTTTAGATAACAAGTTTACTACACCCTCAGAGACTTCCTTTACAAAACCAGTTCCTCTGAAAGGAGTCAAAGCATTCTGAATTAAATACAGTATAAATATAGAACTGAATTTCTTCTCAAAAATAAACTTTAAAAAAACTTGATTACACATGCTATGGAGAAAATGATCCACTAAACTTTACAAAGAAAAACACATGAGCAGATATTTTAACCCTTCAGTGTCGCTCACAGACTAGTTGTAGGTACCACATTTGTTGCCTTTCAAACTGATGTTTCTTCTTTGCCTATAAGACAGTTAAGACTTATTTGTCAAGTTGGACAATTATCATCAATTTCAGGCAGTGGCACAGTGCTATGACCAGATGGGCATATGTGTAACCTGTTAATTTTTTTAATTATTAAATTTTAGTTATGTGGTATGGATGCAAAGTGGTATTTTAAACTCTCAAGAAATGTGAGTGCTAATTTGCTAAAGGGTTAAAGTCTAAAGATAAAGTTGCAATATTCAAATAGAAATATACAGTTTGTAAATTAATATACCTATATTAATAACATAAAAAAATAAGAAAATACAAAAAACTGAAAGAAGTTAGATATATCTTACTAATGTTCAACTAGAACAAAAAAATGACAAAAATAATTTCTAACAAGAAATTTTATGGTTTCTTTAACACATTGACTGTAACGTGCGCCTAATATGGTACATGCATGCATGATGCATGTTTCAAACTGCGACGTGCACCATATAAATATATGATGCACACTTAAAAAATTTAGTATAAAAAAAGCACTTCAAAATATCAGCCAGATCATAAACTTGTGAAAAATATGATAGATAATTGACAATAAGGTTTTCAAAAACCTACACAAACATCATGCAATCAAATCATAAGAATCTTAGTAGTTGAAATCTAGCCTGAAATAATGAGTGGGTAGCTACAAAAAGGAAAAGGTATCAAATAAAGGATGTTATCCAGTTCCAATATGTTGAAAATTATTTTTTCAATATTGGTATGGATTATTGCAATAGAAAAAGATATTAGTCATTTGAAAGTTGCCTAAGCTCACACAGAAACAGAATGACACTGTAAAAAGCAAGATAAACAGTTATACGGATTCTGAGCACTGGGCTAGCAATTAATAGTTACTTTTCCAGCTTTCTATCTAACTTTAGCACTAACTAGCTTCCTTGTTTTGCAATTATGTTAAAGCAAGACTCAGATCAGTAGCTTGTCATGACATGAAGTTCAGATCCTCAGCTTCAAATACTTTAGTACTGGAACGCAAACATCTAAAATCATTGTGATTTGGTTATGGAAACATTTCTTCATGTGTCTGACCTATTACTAGTGAGTGACACTGTGACAATACATTCAGTAATCTTCAATGACTTCAGCAATTTACATTGATTTTTACTGACTATAAAACTGATCACCAAGCACCCAGGCATTTGCTACAGCAGTTTTTGCCAATAACTTGAACAGTTGTTACTTGTTGGTACCTACCACTTCATGCTTTGCTTAGAGCAGTTTTGTAAGACATCATCTTATAAACTTCCCATTTAGCAGCATTTTACCCCAAAATGATTTGTAGTTTGAGTATATTGCAGTTACATTCCGATTCCATTTGCTCAGAAAATGTTTTTTTTTCAAGCTTTAGTACCCACGTGATGCAAATTGTTATTGTAGTAGTTGTATAATAAATGCCATGTACCTACCTCCTAAGTCACAGTCAAAGTGTTAAATTGGGAAGAAGTGTAGAAGCAACTCATTTGTCAGTAATGGTAAATAAATTAAATATACATATAGACAATTACAAATCTATGTGCTTGGTCTAAATTTCTAAAATCATGTCTGTAAATTTGAAAAAATCTGAGAACTCATAATTTTGAATCTTGCGGTTTTACAAATATATTTATTGCGCAAATGGCATGCTAAAAAACTAGATGTTATTAGGTAAATGGAATATGGATTGTCTCATTAAAATGCCATAAGCCTTCTGTTTAAAACTGCTGACCCAAGGCCAGTGAGGCAGTGACCTTTGGATGCTGAAAAGCTCAAGCAAGTACAAGTACTAGCTTTCCTTACCCCTCATTTGAATAAGTTTTTCAATAGTTTAGGACACATAAATATTTTTACATCTGGCAGTATGTTGCCCATCAGCCCATGTGCTGTTATTTCCTAGTCACTACAAAGTAGCTAGCCTACAATGAATTCCTGACACTTATTCAGATTTCACTACATGAATTTATTGTTAGAAGTTAGAACAATTTTTGGCGCTCAACTACGGTACCTAAAAAATTTAACGTTGTTTGTGAATCCTATTAGAAAATGATGTTAATAAAACCCTATCAAACTAATCATATTCTAGTTACTTAGGTAAGGTGTTTACTATTGTTGATGTTGAAAACACTTCCGCCGAGTTGCGCGATTTCAACATCACCATGCCTTGCAACGGGTGCCGACTACCGAGTGTTAGCTTTTGTTATCGCTCGTCCGTCTTCGGTCACTCAAACACGTATAAACTGGTATAGAACGACGATTGAGTTACATATATTTTGCATTACTTAAAGAAATTAGATTCTTTAATACAAAACGTGAATTACTTGGTTATTTCAAGATTGACAATTTTATGAGAATATAATTCACGAAGTACGTGCGTATTGATAAACTGAACTAAGCATGTATAAATTTACAATAATATTGCACGTCAAACTCCATTTTGTCTAATAATAACTATAAAAACGCATATATTTTGGATAATATTTACCTTGTAGTCAGAGTTTATCACTTCGTTTATCAGCAAATAGTTTAATTTGCAAGCGGAGAACTATGCAGAGCACGTATTATAGGTGCCTGTACACAGGGATAGTACTAGCCGCTAGTTCATCCGGCGCATGAACTGTCCACGCTACTAGCCTCGTGTATAGGGGTTCAGCCGCTTCNTGGACAACAATACGGCTAAGACCGCAGAAGTGTCGATTCAAAACGTCTCAGACAAATTTACGGCCTGACACGCGGTCGGTCTCACGGCTAATTTCCAAATTCGGTAACCAAGAAATATCTATCAAACTAATGAACGTAGCTCGGTGAAACTTGGTACACGTATTCAGCACGACCTAACGGTGATGTTTAGCTCGTAAAAATTTCTTACATTTCGCCTTAATTTGTAAATTAAACGGCAATTCGCGCCGAAATTTGCAGTGACAAAGAAATTTCTTTTAAACTACTGAACAGATTTAAACGAAACTTTGATTATATATTCCTTTCCTTCCAACGGTGATGTTTAGCTCGTGAAATTTTTTTTTTCAGTTTTACCTTCGTTTGCGAGTTTTTAATATTTCACCTTCATTCGTGAGTTAAAGAGCAATTCGTGCCGAAATTTGCAGTGACCACGAAATTTCTTCTAAACTACTTAACAGACTTGGACAAAACTTTGAATATACAAACATAACCTCCAACGGTAATGTTTAGCCCGTGACAATTTTTTTTCGATTTTGCCTTCGTTCGCGAGTTATACGGACATAAGGAGAAACGACAGGCATTTCTGAGGCCGATTTTAAATTAGCATTGACAAAGAGCCGTTTACGTATAGCCGTATAACAGTCTCATATAACGCCGATTCAGACCCGACACAGCAAGTAAGCGTTAGCATAAAATATGCGTTTAAAAATTACTTGTTTAAGACAACACTCCTAAAGAATCCAGTGTCGCCGATGTTACACATGTACGATGAATATCTATTTTTATTTTAAAATATCAAGAAAAATTTGTTATTACATTTTGTACTATATAAAAATTATTATTAAAAAATTCTTTATTATGTCAATTGATTCATGCATTCTCTCCGACTTTGCGCAAATTTGCAAAATTTCAGACCGATTGGATAGGTGGAAGTGTGTTAAATATCGATTTTAGGATTTGTAGCAGACAAACGACAAGAAGTGAAGTTAAAGAGAAGTGTTGTAAAAAGAACTGCGATAGGATATGACAACGTTTAGTTTTTGACTTGAGTCGCACGTATAATTTCATTTTCAACTTCGTCAATTCGAGAGCTACAGTATCTATCTCATGTTACTATTTTACTCATTTTTTTCTTCGGAGTTCCTCCGTAAAATGAGCTGTTACAACCGGATCGACACTTCAGCGAACTCGCCTGCGAACTCGCCTGCGAGCTCGCATGGAAAACCTAACTTAATTTTCAACTGTGGCACGCATAACTCCGTCAATAATGGACTGATTTTCTTCAAATTTGAAATATAAGTAGATAATATCAGTACGCTGCGGAGGACTTAATTTTCAACTGTGGCACGCATAACTCCGTCAATAATGGACGAATTTTCTTCAAATTTGAAATATAAGTAAAGTTTCTGATGAAAAATTTTGAAAAAAATAGCCTCCGCAGCGTACTGATATTATCTACTTATATTTCAAATTTGAAGAAAATCAGTCCATTATTGACGGAGTTATGCGTGCCACAGTTGAAAATTAAGTTAGGTTTTCCATGCGAGCTCGCAGGCGAGTTCGCAGGCGAGTTCGCTGAAGTGTCGATCCGGTGCTGTTACAAAATATTTCGATTCTCTCAATTTTTACCAAACAGAAAAACAGCTGTATTTAACTACTAGATAAAGCTCAACTTCGCCAATTTGTAACTGATTATAACTTGATTGTGTATCGCCAACAATCAACACGGCCATGAATTGTGCGTTCTGCGTTCGGCCATGAATTTCCTCCGCTACAGTAAACGTGTTCGATCGGGAGTGAAGAAACTTCATCCTTTCAAATTATAACATTTCAAGAGGAAGTGCACATCCTTCAATGTTCATTGCGCCGTGATAAGTGTCTTTATAAAATTTTATAGTAATTTAGTTTCTCCGACCATCTTGGTTTTACATAACACATATGGCTAATAACTAATTAAGCACACATCTTATATCGCACACTACGCTTCTACATATGTAAAAGACACAAATGGTATGAAGTAAAAATTCGTAATAATTTCTGACCGCATTGCTAAAAACAAGTTATATTCTAAATTTCAAGAAGATCCCTCCATAATTGAATAACTTGTGATTTAAGAAGCTGTGCGAGTCCGCGATCGAGTTCGAAGCGTCGATGCTTTCTATCCAGTAACAGAAACTATATATACTCAAAAGTCACTATAGCCTTTACTCATATTCTACGCTGTTATGCTGTATGGAATTTGTATCAACATATAAATGAAGTACGGCTGCCTTCAGGTAGAGTTGCAATGCTTATGATTTGCACGAACCTGAAAGATTCAGCGTTAATTGCATGGCGTGAATTTTTTTTCCAATTCACTCAGTTTGATGATATTAGTCATAAGGACAAATTTAAGGTTTGTTTTGGGTGTTGCAGATTCAAGAAAAATTATAATTCATTCATAGTTATATAACCGGTAATTATGGCGCGTTATAACGCAACTAAGAGATGTTTTTGCAATGAAGCATATTCACCGGCCTACAAAAATATATAAATAATATTTATGTATACTATTACTATTGTATTTGTATCCAGGTTTGAATTGGAATCAATGTGTAATACGAGCACACCATGACGCTTTTTTGCGGTTGTCAACCCTTTAGTGATATTTTGTTTCTCATACCATCCAGACTCACCCAAATAATAATTCGTTGAACACTCATTAATGCGTTATTGAAACATTGGCAAATTTGTTTCTGGCCGGTAGATGTCCAATTGGTTTATTAAATATAAAATCCCCTGAAATAAACAGCTGAGTGTTGATTCTGCTCCCGATTCTGCGACGGTTTTCTTGCAGAACAGTAAAACTGTCGATTTGGGAAGATTTGTTCACACTTTTTTTCTGAGTGATGAAATGGCATTAAATTATCGTTTTCGTTGTTCGTAAATAATTTGTGGAGTGTCTTTACATAATAATTTGATAAATTCTTAGTTTCTACATTTTTTTAGCGGAATCGTCTTCACCTGTTAGCGCCGCAATAGGCTCTTTAGCACATTTCCTTGATCAAATACAAATTTAGCAACTCAGTCGCAGGATCGCACCGTAGCAAGCCGGGAGTTTGAGACCAACCAACAGGCAATTATATTTTATTTGTCTGAGTATAAAAATATTGTTTAGTTTACTCTTAGTTAGAAAACGTAAGTTTCGTATATGGTAATTTTTTGTGTGTAGGTACAGTTGGTTAACACGAAACAATTTTGAATTTACAATGTTTCTTTGTTTGAGTTTGAACGTCATTGACGCATTTATTAGCAAGCTCGTAGACTCGTAGGTCGTAGCCCTAGTTATTATTCTTCAAGACCATCAGAATTTATATTGATTTAAATCGTTGAAACTTGAACGAATTATCATTACTAAAGCCCATGCTGTCCTGTTATTACCACAAGTCATCAATTATTACAGGGCTGGACCTGGACGGCTGGTCAACGTTACAACCGTACAGCTACAACGTGAGCTGTGCAATCAAGATTATTGTTCAGTTACCTAGTGGCTTTGCTTACCATTCAAAATGCTGGAGACGGGAATGTATACAGATGACTTGGTTCAAGGCCAAGGTAAGTTTTTGTTTAATTTATCAATNTCTACTGTCAATGTGAAATTATTGTGAATGAGGAGCAAGGCATTAGCCTAGGTAGGTACCTGACATTTCTTTGGCAAATAAAATGAGGATCTGACTTACCTGGTCCTGTGTGAATAACAGAATAGGTAACTTGCACTTGCAGGTTTGGAATTTTCCTACCATACTCATACTTGTTAATGAAATCTTGTGGCTTTAAGGGGACCGGCTAGTCGGCTACCCTCCGGAAAAACTTCTACAGTTATTATCCGATCATCATGAAACTTCACATACATGGTACTTAAAATGTAAAAATAAGAACATTTTGCTTCTATGAATTTAAAAAAAAAATTGATAGAAAATGTGAAATTCATAGAAAACGGCTAAAAAGGGGTACTTTAGAAAATCTATCTCCTCCTACAAATATCATCCTACAACAAAAGTAGAAACTATATTCAAAGATTTCAGCAGCTAATTACTTTATATCTAATTACTTAAAGAACTCTCTCACCCGCTTCCCTTTAAAGAGGCGCCATGAACGTAAATATTGGCGTACAGCTATGGCAGTGGTACCATTGGAAAGAGCAGAATTCCAGCTTTCAGATGAGCACAAAAACAGAAAAACGCCAAAATTGAAAATTTTAGGGTAGCTAGTCCCCTTAAAGTAACCAAGTACCTAAAAAAAATAATATATTTTTGCCTGCAGCTTTTGAAAATCACCTGTGGACTGATCATTTTCTTTTGAGATTTTCACATACTACCTAATCTGCATCTGAAGGTGTTATACTGAAATGCATAGCTAGCTACTAAGCCTACCTTTCAAAGTTTGTAGCAAAAATGAGACTTTTTTTCTTTCAATTGCCTGATAGCCTACCTATTATGCATTGCATTGTATGATTGAACTTTATTAGTACTAATATTATGGTCTGTTTTTGGAGTCTTATTTACATATTTTTGATTTTTTTCCTGCATCAAGTTTGATTTTGATATTTTCAAAATAAATTCATATGATTCAACTATACATGTGCTGTGGAATGTTCACTGAATCTTTGCTACTAGTTCTGTTAATCTTTACCATAGTTGTGCTGTTACAAAGCTATTAGAAATTTACGCAATTACAAGGCCTTAGGAATTTAGGATCTTAGCCCTAAGCACCATGTGTTGTTGTGTACTGTCATGGACATGAAACAACCTCAGCTGCAAGTGATATCTGGCACTATCTGCCCTTAATTCTGTTGAGTATTTATAAGGTGCCTTATATTTTACATACGCTGCAATTATTTTACCAGCCATTAATATAGATTGTTTCCTATCAAATGCAGTCTTCAAACACACAATTGTGGATTTGAATCTATTTTTAAAAATTATGAGAATGAAAGGACCAAATTTGTGGCCTCAAGCAGAGCCATTTCTGTGTATGACAACTCCAACCGCTTGAACTTGTGTCTATGTTGCCCATGGGGAGGAGACTGTAAGTTGTTCATGTGTGCGTGTGCCTGAGAACATGTGCATATTTATTGCTGGTACATGTGCAGCTTCATCACTGGTGCACCTGGATCTATATGCTACTTTTCTTTTTCAAAGTTTCTTTGTTCCAATAGTTTTTTGATCTCATTGTCTGTGAGTTTGTTGCCTGCCATTGAAGGTACTGCATGAAATGAAATGCATTAGCGCAGCCAGAAGCTTGAGTACCTCCTACCTGAGTTGCTTGCTGACCACTGATGTGAGTCTGGCAAGTTCTTAACTTGCTGCTGACACACGGGTGCTCTCACTTGGTAGTAAATGTCTATACGTAGTTTGCTAAATGATCTACCTTATCATTAAAGATTAAAATATCTAAAATATTATTGATCAACACCAAGAATAGATCTCAGTTGAGAAATATCTCGAAAGACAAGGCTGTGAGGTTTGTGGTTATTTTTTTTTATGGAGGTTATTAGAAACTAAGGGCGTTTTCCAGCTAACCCTATGCGATTAGGGTTAACTGGTCAATAAGTAGAGACTGTGAGAATTTGATGTTGTAGATATGATGAAAAGTTTATCATTGAACTATCATATTGGAAGAATCTTGTATAAACTCTTAAATGGCATTGATTCAGAGTTTTTCACCATTTTTTATTTTTTACTTTGGCAGAGTTCAAGGTGAGCAACCAGTCTCAACCCTCCCCTGGGTACAACTACATAGTGTCGGCTCACAAGCCCACGGCTGTCTATGCATGTGCCACAGGTAAGCAAGGCTGGCCTTTCAGAGTGTTTTTATATGAACATGTATGCATGTTATAATCAATATTGCATCTAAAAACATGTTAATAGACATCTTTTATATAATATTTTGGAACTGAGCATGTTACCAGCCGAGATCAAAAATGAATATGTGAACTACCATTTCAAAAATTCCTCTCCGCTAAGTTGAGGACTATAGACATATGATCAAGTAGGTAGCTTGCTCTTTGGTAGCCAAGTTATCATTTGTGGTAACATACATAAATAAAAATTTCCACCCAGAAACACCCTCCACTAATCCTGGATTGTTTTTCAGGCTACATTATCATGCCCATAACTAATATTCTGTTCATCATTGAATACAAAGTGTTACCTCCTACAATGCTCAAGAATTGAAATATTAGCATTTAAGAAGATGTTGATTACTTGCAAAATTACACTTTTTTCTTATATTGAAAATATTGTTGTCAATATGTCTCTTGATATCAGTAAATTGATGATAGTGAATCATATTGTATCTAGACAGTTTCACTTCAATTTGCCTGTTTAATTTCACATAACATAAAATGTTTCAAGGTAATTCACTGTATCTGATTATTTCTTACTGATGAATTTAGTTTTCTGCTTCAGTATACACAATTTTTTGATAGATGAATGGGTAATATTTCCTTGTATAGTCTCGGCATTTTGAATTTTGGTCTATCCATTTCAGTTCATCAAAGAATTAAGATTCAAAAATGCACATGTGTGTTGAAGAATGGTCCAAGTTTTAAATTACTTTGTTTACCATCTTTTTCTATTTCTGACTGATGATAACAATATAATTCAGTACTGAATAATTTGACTGATTTTTCAACTTATTTGAAGGTCTCAAATTGTATAGGTATATTGTTTAATAAATTGAGTTTTCTCTTTGATATTCTCATTCTCTGAATGATGTTATTATTGCACAACATAATATTATCGTGTTATTGTACTGATATTTCTGTTGTTTTGCAGGTCAATTGACATCTACAAATGACCTGAACTTGGTGATAGCGCGCAACAATGTGTTGGAGCTTCATCTGGTGACACCTGAGGGCCTGAAGCTGCTAAAAGAAATCAGCATTTATGGCAAAATTACTTGCCTGGAACTTTTTACTCCACGCTCAGTCTCTCCCGTGAGTGTTACAAAGTGTTTGGTCTAGTTGAAAAATGCTAAGTGAAATCTTGATTAATGCACATTAAATTTTAATGGTACAAAAATCTACCTGCATTAATGTATTATGTATTGTTTTGTTTTGTTTCAGCTTGGCGATAAACCAAAGGACTTGATATTTCTGCTGACGGATCGCCACAATGTAATGATCTTAGAGTGCCTGTGCAATGATGACCAGTTGGACATTATAACTCGCGCTCATGGCAATGTGGCAGACACAAACGGTTAGTGCAGGGCATTGTGGCTGACACAATGGCTAGTGAACTTATCAATATCGGTAATGTGCCGTTGCTCTCTAATGCAATGCTCTTTCTGCATTGTATTTATCCACTAAGTCACCAAGCCTCGCTTATATTTCAATGTCTCAATACATTACACTTGACATGCCATTATTCATGCCCATAATTAGCTTGTTTGGCTGTGGCCCTCCTTAAGTCAACATTTTAAAGTTAATCTTGCAGATTATCATTTGACCAAAATCACAAAATCGTTGATTACTTGCACACCTCCATATAATATTGCCCTTGATTTAATAATTGTATTGAGTTGGATGTCAAAAATTCTGTCACCAGGGAAAGAGTGTGAGAGCGGCATGCAGGCGGTGATTGATCCTGAAGCTCGGTGCATTGTTCTGCGTCTGTACGAAGGTCTGGTCAAAGTCATCCCGCTGGAGGAGTCTAACACTGAACTGCTGGCTTTCAACTTACGGTAAACGCGTGTGGCATCTCATCTGATTTAATCAATACTTTTTTAGCCGTGATTATGAGAAGAAGTAATTGAATCTTGAAATTTGCTGAATTTATGAAGAATTTAATTTTTTTTGAGAGCAAAAATCCAAACTGGATTGATTTTCCTATTTGTCGCCATAAGAAATCCTCATCTGAAGAGCTTGTTCACTGAACCATTAACTGTAATTTTACGTAACCTTCAATCTATAAACTGTGTGTTGATTTTCAGTAGATTGATGATCTACATCATTTTGGTTTGTTCTAATAATCTAACTGCCGAAATAATACCGGTATACTAGGTATTCATGATATTGCAGCATGTGGGCTGTAAACTTCTATGCCAAAGACTGTCACCAGAAATTTTCAAACTATCTCTTCCAGTCTCATTAATTTACAATGTTTTTATTAGTATGTAATGAATACTGTGGTACCATTGATTCAGGAGTGTTGTTTAAATCAGGTAGGTATGTAGGTAGTAGTAGTGTTGAGGGCTAAGAAAAGGGAGTTTTATTTGAAACTCATTTCTATTCATTGTTTAATTAGTGTATTATTTACTGGTATTAACAACATCCGCAGTGTGGATGAGCTGCAGGTGTGCGACATCCAGTTCCTGCATGGCTGTAGCTCGCCCACGCTCATCAAGCTGCACCAAGACGGCAACGGGAGACATATACGTACCCACACGCTCTCTCTCAGGGAGAAGGAGTTCTCCAAGGTGCAAACAATTTAATAACGTGGGCAGTATATTTCCCTATATTTACTGGTGTTTTACTTGCATTTGGAATGTATTTTGGTATATTTGTCGGGGTTTTAATAGCTTTTGGAATTTATTTTCCTATATTTGCCAGGGTTTTCATAACTTTTTGAATTTATTTACCTACATTTGCTGGTATTATAATAGCTTTTGAGTGTTGTTTCGATTGAGTGTATTTCATATATTTGCTGATGTTTTAATAGTTTCTAGAATATATTTTTCTATTCTTGCAAGTGCTTGATATGTGGATGCCATGTCTATGCACGTTAGCTTATCTAAATATAGTCAACCAATCTTTTTTGTTCAATTTTTACAGTGATGTAAAATTTCTAAGTTGTGGTAACTTTTCTTCGATTGTCAGTGATTGATGAATGAAACGGCAGTCAACAAATCAAACCTGCGCTTTCATTTGAGTAAACATCACGTTTAATGTTTTTTAATACTCAAGCCGTCTCCTCTTGAATGTAAGAAGAATTATTTGCAAAAAAAAGAATCACTAGAATATTTTATGTTGAAAATTTTTGAGCTTGATTGTAGTAGAATAATAGGATATGATCTAAATATCAATTAAATTGCAGGTACCTTGGAAATTAGATAACGTGGAAGCTGAGGCTGTGATGATAATCCCTGTCCCTGAGCCGCTGTGTGGCGCTATTGTCGTTGGTCAGGAAACGATCTCTTACATCAAGCCTGACTCCCACGTGACCATCGCTGCAGGCATCCTGTCCACCAGCACCGTCATCTGTTATGCCCCTGTTGACAGAGACGGCAGCAGGTGAGAATGGCTTGACCAAAATAACATCTGTTACGCCCCTCTTGACCGTTCGTTCATTAACTTTTGGTCAACATCAACATCTGTTTCCTCTTGACAGAGACGGCTGTAGGTAAGAATGGCTGTGCCTGTAGATTATCTGTTATGCCTCTGTTAACAGAGATGGCAGCAGGTGAGAATGGCTCGAGTTGGAGGCTAGTCAATGCCACGCCACTCGAATGTATATTGAATTGTGAGAAGCGTTCATTTAAAAGTTTCCATTAATTATCTCTACATTTGAGCTCTTGTGTTCGTACTGAGCTGTTAGGCAGGTAATACCTCAAGCGCTGAGAAGATGGAAAATTCAGCTAAAATCCACTCATCAATGCTCTATCTTAGATACGTAGCCATTATAGTTTTATATAATGCTATATTCCTCGTATTGCAAATCGGATTGAAATTTGAAAGCACTAGCAGTAAAATCTCATCTGAAAGTTCACTCAATATTTTCAGTGAAAATGTTATGGGGACCAGTTCCATCCACTTTAAATTTAATTGAGTGGTCTGCTTGATTATACTTATATTATAGGATATTGAACTTATTGTGGACTTAGTAATGTTTCCAAAGAAATAATGTTTAATTTTCTTGGCATTTTCTTACAAATTATGTGTAGATACAAAATCCATCCCAGAAATTTTACTCTAACAAATTTTTATCAGAAATCAAATCAAAGTAGTAATTTCCTAAATATTAAGGAAGGGCGATTCATATAAGGGAGCAGCATGACTTTTATTCTAAAAAAGTTGCGGCTGCATCTAATTGGGTAACATGAAATGTGCGTTTTAGGTTTTGAGGTAAAGATATGACATGGAGTCCATTTGAGTGAATTATTGTCAAGTCTTAGTACTATGATTTTTATTTATTTCATCCAGTCTTAGAGCTAGCATAATTATTTTTAATCCATCTATGGTCTAGCATTCTATTTCTCTCACCGTCTATGTGCTAATATTATTTATTTAATGCACAGGTACCTGTTGGGTGACTTATCAGGTCGTTTGTTCATGCTGCTGCTGGAGAAGACGGCGCCAGATGCAGACCCTGACATCAAACTGGAGCTGCTGGGCGAAGTGTGCACGCCCGAGTGTATCACGTATCTCGACAACGGCGTCATCTACGTAGGGTCACGTCTCGGTGACTCGAGACTCGTGCGTCTCAACAAGACCCAGGACCCCGTCACTAAATCATTTCTCACCACCATGCAGACCTTCCCCAACCTAGGACCTATCGCTCATATGACTGTTGTTGATCTGGAACGACAGGGACAAGGACAGCTCATTACTTGCTCTGGTAAGTTCGCATATAACTTCTTTTGCTCAGCATTATTTTTCCTGTTGAACAAGAAGTTGTGTTTTAAATGCATGCAAGTATTTCGATAACAACGAACGAGTTCTATAAGATTAGTAATTGATGAGAGAATGTTCTGGAGTGTTCTTTCTCCAGAACCAAAATCCTTGAAAAACCCTTTATTGAAATTTGCCTTGAAGCAATTTTAGTTTTATTAATCTTATTAATCATCAAAAGTTGATAACTATAGCAAGTTTGTCGTTTCCTAGGTGCGTTCAAAGAAGGCAGTCTGCGCATCATCCGCAACGGCGTCGGTATCCAAGAACTTGCCTGTATTGAGCTTCCTAAAATACGCGGTATGTGGGGCCTTTCTATCGCCGCCTCTGATGCCTCCATTCACAACACGCTGGTCGTGACCTTCCATTCCTCCACCAGGTCGGTCTAATTTTTTTGTCATAGGAATTGAAGATCTATATTTTTATTTCGCAAACAGGACTCATGTTCAGTGACTCAATTGGGTTGCATCAAGTCTATTGAAATTACTGAATTCGACTGAGTATGTTGCTCATGTTAATGTTAAATATCCATAAATAATGGAGATTTACCGGTTTGTAGGAGGCAATAATTTGCTGTTTTCATATATTATGTTCATGTCACTACTACTGATGCATATGTTCTGGAAACGAAACTGTTGATGAGTGTCTAGTCTCTAGTGTCGTTTTAAATATTTCAGTAACCGTGTAAATGAAACACACTACATACCCCGTGGCTCCTACCTTTTTGCGGGTATTGTCAGGATAGGTTCAATGACATCTAGTATTGCATTTTGTTCTAAAATGAGTGCCGCTTCATTTCAGGTTTTTGAAGGTCGGGGGTGACATTGTGGATGAGATCAGGATACCAGGATTCTTAAACAAAAAAATGACTTTTTATGCCGCCAACGTCAATTTTCATCAAGTTATTCAGGTAAAGCTAGCTTTTATTCTCTTAAGTAATAAAGACGCAGTGTAACTTGGAAAAATTTACTCCCATTCTAAATGTTTTCACGTTGGGTTAAATGCTTTCACAATGGGTTAAATGCTTTCACAATGGGTTAAATGCTTTTACAACGGGTTTAATGCATCCATTATCAATGACTAAAAGGAAATTTCCATTGAGAGGAAAAGATATTCTGGATAATTTCAGTGCGTCGCTAGTAATCTAGTTCAACTGAGATCATTTTGTTTTTCATAAATTTGATTAATAATAAGATTGCTTAACTAACGATGGAATGTGCGACTGGGTAAGACGAAACGAGTTATTACGGTACTTTGTCAGTAAGAAAAGAAAAACCGTGATTAAATTGTGTTATAAATATTACTCAGCCACGGATATTGCTCTATAGTCATTCAAAACATAGCACAACGATACTACATTCTTGAAAGGAAAGTAATGCAGCTAAACATTGCACAGGTTACGCGGTGTGGCGTGCGGCTGGTGAAGGAGGACACATGCAAGCTGGTGCAGCACTGGTGTCCACCAGACGACCGCCCCGTGTCGCTGGCCACAAGCAACCCTGGCCAGGTTGTGGTCACGTCTGGGCCGTACGTCTACTACCTTACCGTGGCTGACGGCGCTCTCAACCTCGTCAGGTGACGCCTTTTTTTGTGTATTTGTTTGTGGGGTTTACGGAGTACAGAAACTTGTATAAAATGTTGAAGACGATTTACAATTAGTTCGCAAGTTCTTTATACAAATTGTAGTTGCCTTAACTCACTATGTTTCATACTTTATTTGGCCACGTTGATAAAAGTTGGAGTGGAAAAGTCAAGATTTTCGATTTGCGATAGTTGTGAGAAGTGATCAAACCTCTATTTTTATGTTTTTCGAATCCTGTCCTGTTTCAAGAATTCTGGGAGCGAACATTTGCTCTATCTTTGATATCTACAATTGCTGGCATGCCAGTATTGCTCAACCAAAGTTGCTACCTGTGGAGCAGGTAGCAACGATCCTGTGTATGAAATAAATAATAATATTAGTACAAAATATGCACTAAATGGGTTGCAGTCAGTGCCAGCTGGAGCACGAAGTGGCGTGCGTTGACGTGTCTCCGTTGGGAGGGGCGGACGAGGCGTCGGTGGTGGGCGTGGGCATGTGGACTGACATCACCACAAGGATACTGGCCCTGCCCTCCCTTAATGAAGTGTACAAGGAGCCCCTCGGTGGAGGTCTGACATCACTCTTAATCCTAGCCGTGATTATTATTTAATAGTGCTTATTGAACACGACCCAGTCAATTGAGTATATGCGACCATTTTCACGACCAAGTTTATGGAGCATCAAGGAAATGAATATTCCCGGCGTCTGTGGCCACTTATAACTTTTGAATATTGCAGCATAGAAATTTAAAACTTGATGGTGGGGTGTCCCATTTGAATTGATCTAACAACGTATTCTTTTATCTCTACAGACATCATTCCCCGATCGATGCTGTTGGCTACGTTTGAAGACGTTCATTATTTACTAGTTGCCGTAGGTGATGGCCAACTGGTCTACTATGTTTACAATCCCAAGCAGCGACATCTCACGGACAGAAAACGGGTATTTGTTAAAAAACCGAATGATTGTATAAATTACTTGAATTTCGTGTACATGTGCATAGTTTGAGTTATAATTCACATGGTTCACCGAAATATTTCTGTACTTTATTCTATCTATTTGCTTCTCTCAGAATTAATTTTGGTGGGAACATCAAATTTGTTAATGAAACCTGGCCTAGAGTGGAAAAGAACTGATTATGTTGAAATTCACTGTATGGTTGTTAGAATGTTACCCACATCATTTAATAAAGAGTTAGTAAGTAACTTGGTGCCATTATTGGTGATATTGTCATGACGAATAGTTGCTATTTGAAAGTAACGCTTTTAAACATGTAAAATCATTCATGATAAGAATGTTAACTGCCTTTTGGTTTACATGTCGCCAACAATTTAACGTAATTAACCTTTCGTATAAAATTCTATCTATTTGACGAATATTAATGGGAGTGCCGTTGCAGGTTGTGGTAGGTATGCTACCTACTCAGCTACGACGCTTCAACTCTGGGTCCGTGTCGAATGTGTTCGCCTGTTCTGACCGCCCAACCGTCATCTACTCCTCTAACCACAAACTCGTCTTCTCTAAAGTCAACCTCAAAGAAGTCACGCACATGTGTCCTCTTAATTCCGAAGCTTATCCAAACAGGTTTGTTGTCTAAAATTTGTATTGTATAAGGAGGCATTTTGTGAAGCGGCTCTAGTGCTGTTCATGGCAAAGAAGTCACGTATATATACCTACGTTGGTCTCAGCTCCGAAATCACTTGATTCAGACACGGTTTGTAGTTTTAAAGAAATTATTAACAGCACCACAGGGGAGAATCAATTCTTTAGTGAACAAGTTATTTTACATTGTAAATTGACGTAGGTTATAGCTATTGTAAGTTATCGTATATGATACCGACATGGCTCATCTCATCCCCAGCGTTGAGTTTGACCTAATATTCCCAATGCTTCTGCCGATCTCTTATAATCTGTTCATTATTCCATTTTGATTGATAAGGTTATGGAAACTTTTTCGCTACTTTTACAATATTTATTATCGTTGATTGTGATGTCCCGCACAGCTTAGCTCTGGCTAACGGCGAGGGTGTCACCATTGGCACGATTGACGAGATCCAAAAACTGCACATCCGAACCGTGCCGCTCGGGGAGACGCCTCGCTACATCGCTTACCAGGAGGAGACTGAGGTGCGGCGTGGCGCTTGTAGAGCCCATGAGAAATGCCTGCCTGTATTAAGAAAAATATTAGTGAAATAATAATAGTATGAATTATTGTAAATATAAATAATTTTTGATTGATTGATTACGATCAATCGCACTAATTATTAATCATCCCATCTAAAGATAAGTCGACAAATTGAATTAAATTGAGGAAGATTCGTCATGCCAATGAGCCAAATTTAATTATCGCGCGTACCACAGCAGACATAAGGACTATAAAATAATTGTTGATCTTCTCTAATTATTGAATTTATTTACACATTTAATATGTGATGTTTCTGCAAACTTTTCCTAAGTCCAATTGGGATATATATTCTGTTTGGTAGACATTTGGCGTGGTCACGTTCCGTGTGGACGTTTGTGAAGACCCGAACATCAACACTGGCTCCACAGCGGTTGTTGGTGAGTAATTCAATTAATTGTATAATTACCAATGAATTATTTGATTATTTAATTAACTGATTTCCTTATTTGCCAGGTTTTGATTACTGGGTTGGTATGGAAAATTGCTTTTGTAACCTGACGAATTTCTCTTCTTACTACATGTATTTCCGAACCCCACTTCTTCTCCCTCTTATACAAAGGATGCGCTCTTCCGACACTGTTGTTCTGGATAATGCACCTATAGATATAAGTGAGACTTGTTCCAAATATCGATGCACTTTGTACCCATGGGTCACCATAGCTCAATTCGGCCTGGCAAAGGGCGTAGTAGTGCTACGTCCGCTTTCTGAGTATGCTTGAGTTGAGAAAGTGTGTCATGTTGACCCATTCATTTTCCTGATTGTGTTCTGTGTGTGCTATATATTGATTGTATTTTGCTGGTACCTCAAAGCAAGTCGGTAACCTAATATTTATAATAATAATGTTTATGTTGCAGGCAGCACACCAGCCCCTGCTCGAGGGCCAAGTGGAGCGGTGTCAGGCGCCAACGTGCCAGGCTACGGCATTCAGTACGGCCTGGGTCTGGACGGCGCAACGCCTGCTTCTCTCACCGCACACAAGTTTGTTATTACTCCTAAACTTGAACTATTAAACTTTGCATATGACTTTCTGTCTTCTAAATGCTATGAACAAGCTATGAAGTCACTTGAGTATATAATTGTTGTGGCTAAAGTACACGGAACGGCCTAAGTAAATGTAGCAGCCTTAGTTGACGTAGCATCCGAAGCACGACGCTATGTAAACGTCGCTGCTAATTTCGCGTGTGAAATTGGTTGGCTTAGTTTAAAAAGCATTAGTTATTGGCTGACGGAGTTACGAATTAGTAAATATTTTTGGTTTTGGAGGTAAACCCCTGTTTGCTGTCTCCTATCATTCCTCAATTGCACTGCTTCTTCTGAGGGATATCACCTATGTATTGAGGTTCCATTGTAGTTGCTGTCGGATGTATGTACGGAGTTGCCAACTGTTTCTTTATTTGTAGGATGGCTTTGAAGAATTTTTCTTTGATCTTGAACGGATGGCTTTAGTAAAACGATTAAGCACCAATATGTTCTAGTTTTGTTTGAAAGGAAAAATCCATGGTCGGAATTGTCAATAGTTACTTGATATTTTAGCACATCCTACGCCCTCACCACAACCTCCATCATAAAGACTGGCATCGTGCCGCCTCCCGAGCGTGGCCAAGAAATTGAGACCTACAATCTCCTCATCATGGCTCAAAATACTTTCGAAGGTAAATTCATCACCTAATTATTTACCAATTTGGGAAAAATTTTCATGTTACATTCTACCAAAATGTTTTTGTTATATTATGAACCCCAATATACTAGGTTCAAGGTCACAGGGTCTTGTTCATTGATATTGACGCGAGTTGACCATTATTTTATTACAGGTCTGTATTTATTTAGAAGAAATTGAATCTACTTTCTTAACTTGCATACAACACCTAAACATTCCACCAGCAAGAATTAATTTATTACTCCTTCAAATTGCGCAAAAATTTTATGTATAAAAAAACTTTTGTATTTCACTGCAGTTATCCACTGCCACGCCTTCTGTCCGCATGAGTACGTGATCTCTCTGATCAGCACGAAGCTTCGTGACGACCCCGTCCCTTACTACATCTGTGGCACCGCCATCGTCAACCCTGAGGAGAGCGAGGCTAAAGTTGGACGAATTGTCATCTTCTCGTTCACGGACTCCAAACTTGTTCAGGTTCGCTCAGTAATTCTAATAGCGGTTATTTAAGTTAGTAATGTACAAGGCCATACTGCAGACTCTTACTAGCTCAGATTCGGCTGAAATGAAACGTGTAGTTGAGTTATTTAGTAACATCAAAGTGATGCATTCCGAAAAAAATTTTGTTGAGTCATAGTTCAGTTGGAGCATTTCACCGATATTTCGGTTGAAGGTTACACGGTCATTTAGACTTGATTATATTAATTTTCCATCTACAAAAACATTGCTGAGTTCTGATCAAGCAATTTATTTCTTTCAAATCATTCTGTCCAACTGTGCAGGTGGCAGAGAAAGAGATGAAGGGCGCCATTACCGTACTGCAAGAATTCCAAGGCAAACTCCTTGCTGCTGTCAACAACACGGTGAGTTAAATCGTATCATTTTTGGTGGGTTATTTAGTTCTTGGACAAGTTGTATTTATTTAATTTATTATATCGTTAATGAGCGTTTTGTGCAATGTTTGATTGAGATTATTAAATTGCTGCAATTTCTTTACATTTTTATTCTTGTACCTATATTTTGAAATAATTTTGTGCAAAGCAGCTTAATCGATATGTACTCGGTGTTCTACGGCAAGCCTTTTGCTAGATCTATTGATTTTGGACTGGTGCACTATATGTGCTATGAATTTCTTTTGCTTAATTTGCCATAAATTGCCAGGTACGTTTGTTTGAATGGACCCAAGAAAAGGAATTGCAGCTCGAGTGCTCTCACTTCAACAACATCTACGCCGTGGCCATGAAGAAGAAAGGCGACTTTGTCTTGATTGGAGACCTCATGAGATCTATGGCTTTACTACAGTACAAAACCCTAGAAGGAAACTTTGAAGAGGTCCGTACGATGAATTCTGTTTATACTTATGTTATCAATATATCAATAGTAGTAAATCGATTGGACTTATTGGTCATCAAGTAAATTTCAAATGAGTAATTTAAATTACTCGAAAATTACTGTGAAAAGCGAATTTTTTTTCTTTAGATCGCTCGTGACTATGAACCAAACTGGCTGACTTGCATCGAGATTCTCGATGATGAATTTTTCCTTGCTGCTGAACACTTGAACAACATCTTCGTGTGCCATAAAGACAGGTGAGCCCAGAATTGTAGGTGGATAAGTTAGCTATTTTTTCTGAAAATATGTTCTACAGCGATTTTGACGAGCGTCGGCGTTAATGCACTTGTTCTGAGTTTAGATTGACTTAGAATATACCACGGACCACTGAAGCTATGGAAGAAGCTGGGTCAAATTGATGAGAAATGACGGCTTCTAGATATACGTGGCTGAGGCGTTGAAAAGTTGTTAGCATGGAGTGTGCATCTCATTAGTTGATGGCAAACGTGTATAAAAAATATGTGGTAAATAAATTTAGGTTTCTGTAACTTTTTATTTATATTTACATAGCACTTAGTGTAAGACTTATTGCGTTACAGTGGCGCGAGCACGGAGGAAGAGCGACAGCAGATGGTGGATGTGGCGCGCTACCACTTGGGCGACTTCGTGAACGTCTTCTGCCCGGGGTCGCTGGTGATGCGTGGCGAGGAGGCGGGTCCTTTGGGCGTCGCGCAATCAGGGGTGCTCTTCGGCACCGTCAGTGGCTGCATCGGTCAGTCACCTGCCTGCCACTTGTTCTTCTACTCAAACCCCTGTTATGATGATGATAGACATTATTTGAGCGCCTAATTCTGTCTAAATGTGACTGGCTTTTAAATCGCATTTGCTTTAAGATGGTCTCCTATATTATCCACCACCGTCAGTGGCTGCATCGGTCAGTCACCTTCCACTTTTTCTTCAACTGGATCGCCTGTTGCTGTTTATTTAAACCATATTCGCTTCAAGATTGACCTATTTTATCCACTACTCAGTGTGAAATATGCCACGACTAAGTTATTTGGTGACTCCATTGTAAAGCACTTGATCTATCCCTTCACATTTCCTCTGTTTCAGGACTTTCAATCAGTATAAGTGGCGACCTCTACAACTTCCTCACGGAGCTCTCGTCTCGGCTCTCGAAAGTCATCAAATCTGTAGGCAAAATCAATCATTCATTTTACCGAAGCTTCCACAGTGACAAAAGAGTGAAGAAAATGCAAGGCTTCATCGATGGAGATCTAGTTGAGAATTTCATGGATCTTTCGAAAGATAAAATGGAGGAAGTCTGCTCTAAGTTGACGGTTAGTATTGGTGTAAGGTATCAAGCAATACAAATGTATTAAAATTGGTGCAATATAAAATGGAGCAGGACTTGCCTATGTTGATGTTTGTAGTCGGTGTCAATATCTCGCGAAATCGTAGCCAAATAATAGGTGTACGTTTCAATCGCACTAAATTGTGTTGAACACCTGCCTTTGCAGGTGTGGGTATGGATTGATACAAAAGTAAATACCTATTGTAGTAGTAGTGTAGTAATACCTATTGTAGTAGTCGTGTATTGTAGTAGTAGTGTAGTAATACCTATTGTAGTAGTAGTAAATACCTATTGTAGTAGTGTAGTAATACCCATTGTAGTAGTAGTAAATACCTATTGTAGTTTGCTGTCGGTGTCAATATCTCGCGAAATCGTAGCCAAATATTAGGTGTATGTTTCAATCGCACAAAATTGTGTTGAACACCTTCCTTTTGCAAGTGTGGCTATGGATTGATACAGAAGTAAATACCCTATCACATAAACTGTTATTCAAAACCTATGGCATATACGAGTTATTTCCTGCAGAGCTCTATAACGGGGACAGTCTGGAGTATCACGTGATTATTTCAATTGTTTTGCTACACTACTAAGCTTTACCAGCTAAAGTAGTTATGTAAACAATTTCTGGTGTTTTTTTTATCAATATTTTTGCCTAAATTGATCTCACTTTTGACCAGATGAACGTGAACGGTCAGGCTGTGGAAATGAACGTGAATGAAGTGATGAAACTGGTGGAGGAACTCAGCAGGCTGCACTGAGTCTCATGAAGCCGCAACAATTCATTCATGTTGACATCGGCAACAATTCATTCATGTTGACATCGGCAACAATTCATTCATGTTGAGATCGGCAGCAATTCATTCATGTTGACATATTTAATGACCATGTGAATTTATCTATCAAATACATAAGCCTTAAACACGGTACGTTCCGTCACTATTGAGCGCCTTGTCATGTCATTTTCATCTCGCTTCCGGAAATGTATGTGAAAATTTCAAATGCATCTTGGCAGTCAATATTTGAATACATTTTTTTCCCCTTTCAATTGTCAATTTTAAACCACGATCCCGTCATGAAGTTCATTTCATTAAACTATTAGAACATATATCTTAATAAACCCGCTTAGCAGATGAATTTGGTCTCAAAATAAATGAAAGCTGAAATAAATATTTACTGTGATTTTCTTCCTCCGACCTCTTATTTTCTGAAATAATGTAAGAAAATATGAAAATTCTGCTATTCATGTAACATTGACCATCTGATTCATTATTCAAAATCAATCTTATAAATTCTTGAACTTTAGATTGCGAAGGCGATGTTTTTATTTCACTTCATTTAATTAATTTACGCAATCACTCTATTACATTAATTTACTGGTTAGGAGTGTGCATATTGGCGCATTCTACTTGCATCTTATTTCGGATCATTTTTGGTTTACTGATTATCATCTAGGTTGTAAAATGTTTATCGTGGGTATGGGTTGAAGCGTAGCCGTTAGGTAGCAAATACCAGTAAATGTAAATACAAATTCAGGCTCCAATTTCTTGTCTTTGTGATGAATGTCACTGCAAATAATTGACAGCAATGCCAAGCCAATCTGACTTGAATTTGTATATTACAGTTTGAGTTACTCTGCCTAACTCTAATTTTTTTAACCACCTCCCTGCACCTCCTGTTGTTTCTGACTAGTAGTTATTTAGTTTTTCTAATAAAACTTTTTCCTAATGGCCATAAAATTAGATCAAATTAGATAATTAGCAAGCTCCTTAGGGTGTTTATTGTGATAGAAAATCATGTTTACTCGTGTGAGTTGGACTCGCTCTCACATTTTCACTTCCAATACCTTCCAATATCCTCCATAAACCTGATAAAGTTGAATCTGATCTCGTGTGCCATTCATTGTAACCTTAGTTACATCCTGGATGAACATGGCAAGTCTACCGAACCGGCAACGGAGGTTCAATTCCGCACTTTCAGGAGTCAGCTCTAGATGGGATTGCTCGCAGTCTAATTTGTCCCGTTTCGTTCTTTCACTATAAATTTGAACTGCCTAGCAAGATTATTGCTGTTGAAGTATTTACCTGTGAATTCTTTGTGCATTGAAATATTGTTCTGCATGAGAACTGCAGAGAAAGGGATTCCTTATTGAATTCGTAGGGTTTTCTCCAAAGAGAGAGTAGTATGTGTTATTCTCACTTGGAGAGCTTTGCATTGGCTGCTTCCTGATTTATTGAAGTTGCTGGTCGTATTTCACACGAGATCGTATGCTAAAAAAAACGAAAAAGTAATAAACTTTTATAGACTGAATTCCTATAAATTCGGGATTTAGGCGGGGATTTTATACATGGAAAAGGCTTTGTTAGGAACTTGAATTGAACGAAGTTTCTCCATCATGGTGCTTTTCGAAGTAAATTTTGACGAGTCTTGTTGCACGCTGAAAAAAGTATTTGAAACTCGGAAACATTGAAATTGGATACGTATGAATGTATCCTGGCTAAAAGATCAGACTAAACGTGTACGGTGTACTGAATTGAACTCCGTAGTTGCGGGTCATGCGGGACGGGCACTCGCCGTGGGTGTTTTTATTTCATAAATTTAATGAGTGAAGTTTGCCTTGAGAAATTGAGACTGCATTGCGGTAAAGTGTGAGCCTAACGCTTGGGTCGCTCTTGTGAATACCTGATGCGCCGTGACCATCTTGCGGCATCGTGGTGCTCCGCTTCTGAAATTCTGAATTCCCACACCTGAATTGCTGCACCTCCTGAATTTCTACATCCCTTGAGTAGATTACTAGCCACTAAATTTCATTGCTCGGCCGGTGATTCTGACATTGTAGGAAACATTTCAATTCGCGTTTACATTTTGATGGTCAAGCGTGAAGAAGTTCTATGAAAATATTATAAAAGTAAAATGAAAGCTGATATGATATTCCAAATGATTGCTGCATAAAGAGACTGGAATGTTTTCAGTTCACCCGGAAAATGCATATTTCATGAAGAATCTGCGCTGAATTGATATGATTCCATATCGTTCTTGCGCGATTCATCTGCCATTTTAATTAAAGTCCTTGTGAATTTTAAAGTTCCTAAGTTAATTCAAGAAACCCTAAAGGACTCCCTAAGTTTTATAGAATTACTCCAAAATCGCAATTCTATGTATTTCAGGACGTTCTGTGAACGAATCATTAAGCCCAGTCACTAAAATTATTTATAATTTCACTTAAGCCAAATGACTTAAGGTTTCTTTTCCTTGGCCATAATAGTCTGGGTCATCGTTTTTTGTTTTGAATCCTTCGTTTCTGCTGAGGGCATGCGGAACGATGTGTTAATTATTTGCAAACATTTCTGTAAATGAGCTTGATTTTTTTAACGAGTTCTGTTCTGACCGCTGAAGCGGAAGGTGTGCTGTGCTGAGCTCCCATGACGAAAGCCGGCTTCAGCCGGCTGCCACGTCATCGTTCTCAAATTTTAAGTGCCCGTGGACGTAAAAGTTAGTTGGAGAAAACTATATGTGCGTCACTTGAAAAGTAAACAAATGTTTACGTTCTCAATGCAGCGTCGAGCATTCTCTATAGTGCCTTGCAGTTTACAGAAGTCGTATCTAAACTTCAGAAGGCGTCTCTAATCTGGTCATCAGCGAGCCATGAAATGTGTTTAGGCGAAGAAAACAGCACGTGCAATGCGAAGATACCTTCGAATTTATTTACGTGCGCAAATTCCCTCGGGAATTTTTTCTCTTGATCTCGCGTATGCCTCATCGATGGTTCCTTAAGGCTCATCTAAATTCATTGCTTGTGCCCCGAAATCGCTGAGGGCTTCATAAAACCTGTGCTGCACCGGACTAAAGCTGGGCTTTGTATGCGAGGTCCTGCTTATGGATGAGCCTAAGAATTCCACTAACAAGCCAAGTCTCAAGCAGAAATACTTCAGTTGGAGAATGTACGTCTTCCTTTACGGAATTTGTGGGTATGTTAGAGAAAAGACATTAATTTTACTGCTATGAGGCCAGAACTGACTGCGTGTGGACACATCAGTTTGTGATTGAAGAATCAGGACAGGGTTTTGTGAAACCATGGGCTAGCCTCTCAATCGACGAGGAGATGATTACGTAGTTCTCAGTAACTCGGAGCTCACTGTCGGCGAAATGAAATGATTACAGTACCTACTTTGTTTTCTGGAACTGGAGCTCTCAAACGGTGTAGAGGTAATCACTTCGTGTTCAGTAACCAGAGTTTTCCCATTGGTGCCTGGTGAGGACACGATTACTTAGTTTTCAGTAACTGGATCTCTTTATCGAAGAAATGATTTCTTAGTTCGCAGTTACTCGGAGGTTCTGATCGCTGATTAGATGATTGCTTCGTTCCCAGTAACTCGGATATTTCGATCGCTGATTAGTTATTACTTCGTTCTCGGTAACTCGGTCTCGATTGGCGAGGTGATTATTTTCTTCGGTGAAAGTATCTAACAGAGCCGCACATCGCAGCCATTTAGTCGTTCTCAATCGTCCATTTAGTCGTTCTCAATCGTGAAATTGTGTTATGATATTGTTTAATTTCTTGTTACTAATTTCGTAGCAAGAAAGGGCAAGTGAGTAAATACAGAGTAATCTACAGTAAGTTGTCGGACTCTTAGGTGTCATTGCTAAAATTATGGTCTAGAGTCATATGGTCTAAAAACGTTGCGATCAATGCGATGTAATCTAAATAATTTTTTGTACGTTCATTATAGCGCAAAATAATCGAAAGACAAATTATCGAAGTAACAAAATTTTTCCAGTTCATTCACAAGTTATACTTTATGATTCGTATTAAATTCTGCTCCAGAAATTCTTCTCATAAAATAAAGCTGGCTGAATGCCGGAGAGTGTCTCATAAGATTCCCAAGCTTGAACGATAAGTTGTCGTGTCTATCGAAGCCTTTTATTGGACTTGAATTGGCTATTTGAGAGGACGATTGTCTGCTAGCATTACCGCCGCAATCCGGGACCTGTTCATACGGCAACAAACGAGGACTTTGATTGCAGCTCACAAACTCGCTATTATTGCCGAGGTAAGTACGATTGTGCGGTCCTTGTATACGAGTGAGGGGTGCTTCTCAAGACCTCATCTTGGCTACAGATGCGAAACTGGAGTTCGGGCAATGCAATTTACGTCAATGACGTGATACAAAATTGAACGTGGGACTAAACTGCAAGATTGGAGCTTTCTATGAAAAACTGCGGGACGATTTGGTAATATGGAAAGTATGTTTCATGATTCCTAAACGAATTATATTTTTATCTTATAATTTTATTATCAGATATATTATATAGATAAAATAAGTCATAACAAAAGCCTAATTACTTATATATATTAATTTAAGTTATTAGTAACGATTTACGCTCTTTTTTCTTCTTAAATTCCAGTTCTAGAGTACAAAAATTTTATTTTAATTATTATAAAGTCTTGATAATCATACATGCTATGATTTAGAGAATTTCATTCATGATATGCCGATGAGGAATAAAGTCTTAAATAATAAAGCTGAAATCAAATTATGCGAAACCGTTTCAAGGTTTAAATGAAGTAGAATCAAAGTGAAGTTCCTTGTTGGGAACTTCAGGAAATTTTGCGCTTATTTGAGGCTCGAACAAGCCTGCAATGCACACCATGTGGTGACTTGGTTATATTTTGAACTGCATCATTGTTTCTAGTGGATTTATTAATTGTTTGAACATGAACTAAACGTTGAACATGAACCAAACGTTGATCGAAAAATTAATAACCTTGATTTTAATATTTAGTTTTCATAATTAAAATATTACCTGGATCCGTTCATTCAGAAAATCATGGGATGGAAAACAAATTATTTACCCATAATCCAATCCGAGTATTTATTAGGCAATCACAGCGAAACAGTAAAATTATCATTGACTCAGCTCCCCATCTCTTTGGTGCAACATATTTTTAACGGAACGCTTTACTGTTGTAAAATTAATCGCAGTGACATCGAAGCTCTCGGCGGTTCGCAATCAGGCCGACTGATGGAAAGTCAGTTTTACGTCACTAGGCCAAGCATCTGTCTAGGATTATTCTATGCAATGTTTTTAGGTGCCAGCCAAGGAAATGGAATCTTCCTTGGGAATATGCGAAGCTCTTCCTTCACGTCTCTTGTGATTTGGGAAATCACCGATTCTTGGTTTGCCGAGTAGATCAAAGCCAGAAAAATGGAGCTATTGCGCAAGAGCTGTTTGCTGTGAAGCTTCTCTGGACAGTCTTGCCTGTATCTCTCAGGCCCTCGGTTCCAGCGGGACCGAACGATGTGCCGGAGTTACGAGTGGCAGAAATTTGTATTTCCTTGTGCTGTGACTGGAACATGAAGAGGCACGCGAGTCAGAAGAACATATTCTGGGCAATTGGGTTGACTGATGGTGTGTTAATTAGTGTATAAATTTTCTCTATGGAAAACAGAATTGTCTTTCATAGTTCTTGAGCGTAAAGAATTCGAAATTGTAATGATTGATTAAATGCTCATCAAATATTTCACTGACGCAAATTTAATGATAAAATCATCATGTACAAATATAATTAGTCTATGGGACAATGATTAAGCAATTATTCGACAGAACAGAAAACCTTGAAAGTAATTCATCAAGGGAATAGTTTTCCAGACGTTTGTCGCCAACATCGGCTCACTGAATTTTAGCAGCTGATTGAATCTGATATTGTGTTTACATTTATTATCAAGTAGTTTGTTGCATCGTTATTGAAAAAGTTTGAAATCATAACATTTGATTCGTCAAATAACCAAATGTTTTGTTGGAAAACGGAAGTTGATCTGGCATAATATATAACACGAAGTTTGAAGCATATTTGAAGTTAATAGCTTCACGAGTAATAGAATGA